GTCCTCGCCCCCCCCCCCCCCTTTTCAGTGGATGTCCCCTTGAATCACCGCTGGAAGGCCCTGAGCTTAATGATTGAAAATGAGCCATTATCTTCACGTTGCCGTTTAAGGATGTTGGGGGGGGGTAACTGTACCTGGTTCTTCCTTGGTTGTCAGCAGTCCACAGCATCTCTCCATTGCGCCTCTACGCAAACAGACAATCAAACCCAGAGTGACCATCATGTCTCGTGAAGGCGAGTGACGTCACGGGGGAAGCATTTTAAAAATGCGGTGCCGGCAATTTTCCTTTGCTCAAGACGGGCAGAGGGAACGAAGCAGGCACGAAGTCGAAACCGAAACTTTGTGACAAGTGCGTCACCGCAATGCGTTTTGTTTTGTGACATTGTTCTTTCAGTTGAAATGCCCTCAAACCCCCGCGACGCCGTGCCTCTTCGGTCTTATCTTACGTAAGGTGAGCCACGAGCAAAAAAAAAAAAAAAGCAAGCATACCTTGACCGAGTCTTCTGCGGGGATACGTGAAGATGTGAGCTTCGGCTCTTGACGCAAACGTGAGCGTTGCTTGTCGACTGCTTCAGGGGAAGTGAGCGAGCGAGGGGCGTCACCACACCTAAGTCGTCGGAGGCCAAAGTGTGGCGCACTTTTGTTGCGGCTGCGACACGCCCCCCGCGCGCACACTTGTGAAGCGGGCCACTTTCTCCGAAGACGGCGGTGGGCGGGACTCGGGCCGCTTCCACGGAAAAACACCAAACGGCGAGCGTGAGCGCCGTGACGTCACACGGGCTCAACTTCCCTCCCACCGACCCATTGAGCGGAGTCTCGTTTCCGCGAGGTCGAGGCGTGGGCTGGACCGAAGCGTTTGTCCCCGCCCACGGGCATTCTCGGCGTCTTTTTCCTCCTTTTTTGTTTCATGCCAAACTATTTCCCTGGTGGGTTGTAAATGATGCGCCGACGTCTGACGTCAAGCTGACTTTTTCAAACTTCTTGCATGGAACATCGAAAATGACTCCTCACCCCTCAGTCAGCCGGGACGGAGCCAACCGAACCTGTGACGTCAGAGGGCGAAACGGCCGTTTTGCGTCCGTTTTGGGTGGACGGCGGAGAGCAGAGCCACGGAAGCTCTGCAGGGGCCCTGAAAAATGAGGCGGTTGACCGTGGTTGCGAGTGTCAATTCAAATTAAAAACAGGGGTTGAAAATGGGGCGCGATGGGCCGCAATGTCTAACTTTGACCAGCAGAGGGCATCGTCGGCTGCCTCAGAAGCGCCTGACCCCAAATGAAGCAGACGCGAGGAGAGAAATCCTCTCTGTGTGCCGCCGGAGCTGGAAAAGGCCAACTCGGATCGGCCGTTCCGGTCGGACGCCGTCGAAACACGCCCGAAACGGCTTGGACGCGTGACACTCAGGCTACCGCGTGCCGGCGCTCCTGCGAGAGACACTTACAACAGGGAACGGGGATGTTTCGCCGCAGTAAAGGTCCTCCAAGCGCGGCGCCGTCTCCCTGGCGGACGGCAACGAAGGCGGTGTAGCTGCTGCTCACCCCTGACTGGACGCTGAGTTCCACCGCTTTGTCCCTGGCGCTCGCCCCTCGCCCTTTTCGCTCTTCCTCCCGAGGCCGGAGAGCGCTCGCGTCCTCCTCCATTTCCAGGGAGCGAATCGCGCTCCGAGCACCCAGCCGATGAATGGTCAAGCTGCGGACAAAACGCAGAGAAGGCTCTTTAAAAGTCAAAGGTGTCACTTTTGGCCCGTGTTGCGCTGGCGTCCTCTGAAAAGTACGACAAAGGTCAACGGGTAAAACCGGCCCGTGTTATGAACGTGACAAAAAAAAA